GATTTGGGTGAAAATTTACAGAGCAAATTCACTTTCCATACAGCAGTTCACATACACTTTGTCTCATGACATTGACCACAATTCACCACAATGCAACAGCTTCCCTCCCACTTCCTCCCGACAGTCACCTCTTCCCTGTGTCCATCCTTCCATGCACTCCTGCACCCTGAGCTGTCTCCCTGTGCATAAACAACCCTTCTTTCTCCCATGATGGTTCTCTGCAAGGAGTGTGTCTACCTCAGGTAAATGTTCAACCCATATGCCTATCTTTTATTTGGCTGGATGCCACAGGTGTGGGTTCAATCCCACACCTGGAAGGGGCAGCTAGGGGCCATAGTCTCAGTGGTTCCACCAGGCTCTATCAGACTACTTGGTCCTCCCTCTTTTTTTTTTTTTTCCAAATGATTTTGAGTTTTGTTCCACATTATTCTCCCTCTCTGTCCAGGATCTCCTACATAGATCCCCCTCCGAGTGGTTGACAGTGGTAGCCAGGCACCATCTAGTTCTTCGGGGACTCATAGTTGTATAGGGTGCAGATTACATGGTGTACCAGTTGCTAGGACTCTTTCCATGAATCTTTGGTTTTCTTCATTCTTCTTTGCTCTGGACAAGGAGAGACCCATCATTGCATCTAGATGGCTGCTTCTAAACTTTGAAGATACCAGTCACTACTTGCCAAAGTAGGAGGTGGAAAAATGTTTTTTGTAGTATGTTACGCCAATTGAGCTTGATGTCCCCTGTGACTATGGTCCCGAGCCCACAGGTTCAACTGTTCGGTCCCTCTGGGTAGCTGCCTGTGACCAAGAAGTGACTACAACCTTGTCCCTTGTCAGCTCTACTATACCCCTGGGAGTTCTAACAGAACATACACATACACTTGCAAAACCATCGTCTGCCAACCCTATGTATGTTCTTGGATACACTCCCCATTTCATAGACATACCTAATCGTTTAGCCTGACACCCATCTATCCATCCATATACCCATGTTTGCCTTCACTGACAATGCAGTACTGTATGTGCAAAAGGGTTCATATTTGTT